ATTGGGAAAATGAATGAATCCCTCAGCCAGCCCATTCTTGAGGACCAGTGAAAGCCAAAAAAGACCTGCATGACCACAGAGGTTAAAGGGCTATAGTCAGTCTAACCAGAAGGTAGTAGGGTTCCTGGTTATTAAAAAGGTAGGTCTAATATAATCTTAAAGTAACCACACCACAGATGTTCTTTCACTGCATAAGCAATCTGGGTTTGCCAGTGATATTCAGAGCAGTAACTGAAGGAAGATTATTATAAGATATGGAAAAACAACAAATACGTGGCTCTTCTCCTTTAAGAAAAGGTAAATGTTGCTTCATATTAGAATCAGAAATTTTGCAAATGTCAACTTGGAGTACATGCTCCACCAAGATGAAGGAAAGCATGAACATGTGTAATAAAAACTTAGTACTTTTATCACTCTGACCTGAGTCTCAACACATTACGCCCATCCAACTTCTCTAACTTGTTGGCATTGCTAATTTTATTCCTCTGGTGTTCCTCAATTTTGAAGCTTTCCTCAAATTGAACATTTGTTTTCCTAACCATTTGTTACGGTCTGGCAACACAATTTTCCCAGTCACTTTTGGAACAGATCCTTTAGGACATCTAGTCTGTATAGTCGCTTCTTTTATCACATCGGATACCTCTTTGTTGGGTTGCATGCTAATCTAGTCCCATTGCTTTATTTTTAATTAGTCTATTGCTTCTACTAAGCATAGTATAGTGACAGCTGATCAGAATGCCTCACTTTGAGGGGCAATGGGGTGGTACAGGGCTCATACGCCAAATTTTTGCCTGGAGTAAAGCTGAACTGCCAATTTATCACATAGCAGTGCACTGGAGCTTTTAACTGAACTTAGATAAACCCTTAAGTACAACAGGACCACAGCACCGCTCCAGTAAAGCAGAACTGTAGAACCTTTACTCAGACATCGATTCCTCTGACAGGTACATCTATAAGAGGTGCTACAAAAGAATTTCTACTTCCTTCCATCTAGAGTTAACTGGGACAAATTTGAACTTTACAAATGGATTTGGAAATGCTTGAGACAGAAACAGTTCAGAATATCCAGTACTCATTAAAAGACAGGGCAGGGCATGTGTTTTAAGCACATAAGATGTGAAACAATGGGGTTTTCTGGAGGCCAAAGGCCAGGCAACACCAGCTCCTGGGAGGAGTTGGTGGTAAGGTTATGACCACAACCCCATTACTAGAGTGATAATCTTGGGTAAGGAGAAGACCTGCTTTCCTAGGAATTAGTGGAGACCCTGAGATGATGATCCTGATGACTATGGTGACTCTAGGTGACTGGAAGGAGACGAGCCCTGGGTCTTAAGCAGAAAACAACTTGATTGGATAGGTCAGATTTAGGGTGGCTAAGGGGAGAAATGGGCTAAAGGGAAGTTAGCTTAATCTGGGCCAGGAGTGGGTGATAGATTGATTTTTTTAAATGTCTTCAAGACTCTTGGCTGGAGAATGCTCATCTATAGAACTTTCGAAACCTGTCTAAGCCAAAATGCTGAGTATTAATCCATACAGTACTTATTTGTATCTTGAAATCCTCACCCCTGAGTAAAGTGTATTTGTGTCTACAACCAACCTGTGTGGAATGGGCTGGTTCATCTGATGGGGGCACTGGGATATGGAGACCTACGATATAGAGAGAAGTCGTAATGAGGAGTGATTAAGAAAGTGGGAGCTGAAGTTGAACAGCTAGGGTTCAAGGTGACCACATCCTGGCAGTGTGACTGTGAGCAAGTTTACTTTCCTCATCTGTAAAATGGGGATGAGAAGAGCACTTACCCCTCAGGTTATTAAAAGGATTAGATGACACTTGTGAAGTAGAGTAGCTGAATTCCATCACGGACGCCCAGAAAGAGGAAAGGCTAACTCCACGAAAACACACGTGTGTGCACACACCGTAGAATTTCAGAAAAATACCATTTTACAGGGTCAGAGATAATAAATCTGGATTACACCAGTTACCCTGAAACGGTGGAGGGAACTGGAGCTGTGTTAACAAGATTGTGAAAAATAATGAAAGACGTCTGCTGCAGTGCAGACTGATAGCCCCATGCACAACGTCTCCAAAGGTCCAACTGGGAGGCGATCTGGGGTGTTCTGAAGAGATTAAGATGTCCTTAAAAAAATCTCCACATTATTTTCATGAGTTTTTTAATCGCTAAAAAATGCCTGGAGCTTTAACGGAATCTCAGTTGGAGACTTCCACAGCTCCAAACGAAACACAAGGTCTTGCCAAGAACACTCTCATTGCATGGACTTTGAAATGAATGGCCTGCACTGGCTAAAAGGCCAAGCATAAATTAATATCAAAAAGGAAAAAATGCCACGGAAGTGGCAGCAACAAAGTATACGATCAGAAGCAACCTAAGATAAGGCAAATGAAGGCCAACGCCACATGAATGATTTGGGAGCATGTTAAATGTGATACACAGTGTAGAACAAAGAGACGAACACTAAAAATGACTAGAAAATAAGGATGATCCCACTGGGAAAGGGAAAAAACAAAACAATGTGTTTTTTTAAAAAATATCTTCAGTAGACCGAAGGCCTTGGAGAAAAGAGGAATAGGGGTAGGGGGAGGAGGAAGAAGTCAGGAAAACAGATCTAACTGTTGTAACACTGGGGGGCGGCAGAGGAGGCCATTTAGGAGAATAAATGATAATAACGCTGAAATAATCAGCAATGGTCAGATTCAACACAAATCTGAAAAGTAATTAATACTCATCACTTCACTTGAAATTGCACAACAGTCAGTACGAAAGCCAGAGGGAGATGTACCTGAAACCTGGGGGAGAGGGAAATGAAGTGCCCTACTAAGAAAAAAGGCAGACTGACAGACATTATCCACACAGCAAACAAAGAAGGTGCTGATCAGAAAGGAGTCATCGTCCCTGCAACAAGAAACAACCACACTCACCAGAGCACAGGTAGGCACACGGCAAGGGCACCAGGCCCGGCCCTTTTGGTGTTACAACCGCATCGGTAACATCATCCCTTGTGGGGAGGAGGACACAGCAGGCTGTCTCAGCTGGAAGCCTTTTAAATATCCAGGCACAGAGCTCACCAGCAACTGTCAGATTGCAATGGGCCAGTCCATGGAGACCGGCATAAAGGGAGAGAAGGCACAGCCTAAGTCAGCGTGTGTCTTTCAACCGGACAGAGGCTGCATTATCTTTTAAATGATTCAACTGCCATTATGATATTACACAACAGTCTCATGGGTTTGGATAATGTGAAATCATCCCCGTGAGATGGACTTTCTTTGGTGTGCTGAACATATAGGTCTGGGCCTATTACACCTGAAATAAGGCCCTGGGCCCCAGTATCTTCACCAAAATAACAAAACCATCTGTTTGGGGGGAGACAGGAGGGTGTCCTGCATGGTGGCTAACTGTTCTTCCTTAAGTGGTAGCCTCCTGCAGCACTGGTAGCCCTGAGTGCCTTCCTTCTTACATTTGGCAGGTATAGGGTCAGAATTAAAGCACAAGCATGTACACACACACACACACACACACACACACACACTATAGTTCAAAGACTACCGGGAAGCAGCCCAGGGGTTAAGCGGAATCATTGTTTAATTTCTGAGAAGAAGAAAATACAGACAGACAAGCATTTAGAAGTAATTATTTCCTATTGGAATTACTGCAACTACAGCCAAACAGAGAAATTAATGTGCATCGCTAGATAATGCATATTTATCCAAATTAACCAGACACCATCAGTTTGAAAACAGACTTCCTGCTAGGATCACAAGGACACAAATAAATCATACCACACACATACACACAAGGAACGTGAGAACTTGAGAAATATTACATAAAAAGACAGCAAGAATTTGAATATAAATGTCATATCTGATTTATGAAAAAGCACTTGCTAAAAGCTGTGTGCAAAGCTTAGAGAGGTGACAAGGCAATGGCTACATGACAAAAATTAGGCTAAAGTCAGAAGACATTATATGTTCCTTATTGGCTCATCTGTAATTGAAAACTAATCCACAATTCCAAATTGCATTTTGAGGTAGCGTACCTAAAGACAGGTACCATCAGGTCAGACCCTTTTCTAAATATTCTCACTTATATTATTATGTCAAAAAATACCACCCATCTAGGCAACTATAGTTATTCTTATTTAGGTTGAAGTTTAGTTATCAGCTTCTTGGTAATCAAGGTAGAAAGAGAACTATGCTGAGTAATAAAGCTCATTTTCTGAGGAAAGAAAATAGCAAATAGATTTTTTTCCTGACATTAAATTCTAATGTCTAAACAAACTTTTCCATCACAATACAAAAAACACTGCACTTCATAATGAACAATGTTCTTAATATGGCTTCGCAGATGAAGTGCTCCTCATACAGCCAGTCCTTGAGTCATTTCTTCCTAAACACCAAGAGCTTTTCCACTTGGTTCAATGAGGGAAAGAAACTCTGCTGGGGTTTATGGTAGAGGAGCCCAGATATGGAGGTCTTTGATACTGACTACCAAGTTAGAATCAGGGATACATAACCTAGAGGATGAAATGGAAAGTGTGTCCATATTTCTTGAATAGACTTCTCTCAGTAGGGCTTCTGGCAGTGACCTAATTGAAATCAATTTAGAATTACACTTTCTGGTGAGAATCCATATTACAAATTACAGGGAAGTTCATATCCTTTGGATTTGGGCATGTAGGTTTCAGGATGACCTTCAAGTTATATATTTATTTTGTATCTATTTACATAATATTAAAGCTTTCTCACTCTGATAACTAAAACGAAAAGCATCATGGACTAACAGTCAGGAGGTGTAAGACCCAGTTGTATTTTTACTAGGTTGCGTAGCCTTGGGCAGTTCTGAGTCTTGTTTCTTCACTAAGTTATTCAACTAAATGTTTCAGCTGCTTTGAGGCACTAATGTGCAACGCTTCTCGCATTCCTCTAATCTCTGTGAATGTGAATAAATCTCAAGGTGTCATTTAGTTGGCAAAGTTTCTCTCACCAGGATTATATCTGGATCGCTGTTGCTGGTTTCAGCTTCAATCAAAGCCTCACACTCTTGCACGAGGTTTTGACTCTGCTTCCTTTTTCCCTCCCAAGAAGAGGCCTATAGTAAGGTATTAACAAAAAATATACAAAGATTAGTAGCAATCAATGGTACACCTTAAACCACCTTCAGTCAGCCTCTATTAACTTCTGTACAGAAGCAGACTTCTGTAGGGTAAACAGAGGTCATTCAATTTCTGATCTTCACCTTCAAGGAGTATATGACTGCGATAAGCACTTGTAAAGTTAAATAACAATACACAAAATAAAAAAAGGATACTATAAGGCAAATTAAGTATGAAATGAGTGGTGTAGACTGTGGTGCCCAATAGCGAATAAAAGGGCTTAGAGTATTTTGCAAAGGACTGTATGAATTACTGTCCATATACTGAATAAATAAAGTCTCATGTGGATACACATATTGGTGTTAAAATTTATGTAGATGTCACCGAAGGGGACAAGATACACATTCATTTCAAGACATCTATGATGGCTTTCTCTTATTACGTAGTTCTTAATCAATGGATACTAGACATGCCTAGTATCATGTGAGATGTCTGCAGTCATTTTTTTGATATTGAAAAGACTTCCTCATACTTGAAAAGGTGGGAAACTGCAATGGAAAATTTATGGGGCAGTGAAAGGTCTCCTTTGAGTGGAATTGCTAGAAGTAAATTCTTAGCTTCTGGAGGGCAGGAACTGTGTCAATCTCCGAATCCTCAGCACTTGGCCCAGAGTAAACGCTTAATATATGTTTCTCAAGTGAAATTAACTAACAAATGTCATTAAGGGAAAATTCAACGGAATTAAAAGTTGCAGATACAGGAAACAATAAGTCTATTATTTTTATTGGAAACCTTGTTTTCAGGAAATGGGGGGAAAAGTTGTTTAGGATGAAGAAAGTAGAATCTCCTGAGAGACACAAGGGTGTGGTAAACAAATTCTCTAGGAAGAGAAGTTAGTTAATTAATCACCTGCATTAATAGAGCTGAACTGTGATACATATAAGCTAAAACATTAGCTAATTCCACAGCCTTTGTTTTTGAGGGAGATTAGTCCTGAGCTAACATCCACTGCCAATCCTCCTCTTGCTGCTGAGAAAGATTGGCCCTGAGCTAACATCCGCGCCCATCTTCCCCTACTCCACATGTGGGATGCCTGCCACAGCAGGGCCTGATGATTGGGGCGTACGTCCACACCTGGGATTCCAACCTGTGAACCCTGGGCTGCCAAAGCGGAGCACAGGAACTTAACTGCTACACTACCGAGCCAGCCCCCAGAACCATTTTTATCAAGCTTTTGGAGCATATGATAAGATTTACTTGGAGCACATTTGCCTTCCTAATTCCATCTACTTAGACTAATATTAAAATTAATTACACTTCCTGCACCTCCTCTGACAGTGGTAATGCCAAGTGTTGTTGTGTTTATTGGCCAGGAGATTAGAAATTTACTGCAAATAATCCTTAAGTAATTGAAAGTTGTTTCATTGCAATTTAAAACCTGATTAAATTCCTTTTCAAAAGCTTATAAAGAATTTCACAGTTTCCTGGTCTCTCCACCTCACTTCTAGATTTTCATTAACTATAGAATACCTTCGGAAATAAAATTATCTTACTTTTCCAAGAGTTGACATACAACCTCTCTCCATTTCTTCACCTTCCGCTTGCTAATCAATCCACTGTAATCTGGTTTCTACCTTCTTCACTCCAACAAAAACCAGAAAATTCTTCCTGAGCTCATCTCTATTACCTTTAAAATCATTAGGTCAACGCACTATTTTAGGCCTTTGGCCTCTCAACAGAATTTAGCCTCTATGACCAGCTCTCCTTGAATTGCCTTTTTTCTCTCTTGGCTTTGAATGATAAAACAAATTCCTGGATTTTCCTCTTACTGCTCTGGCCATTCCTTCACAATCACTGTGCACAGTTATCCTCCGACAGATAGCCATAGATGCTAAAATCCCTTAAGTTTCTCTCTAGTCCTTCTTTTCTTCTTACCCTTCCTTTTTACTTGGATGTCCTCTTGGAAGTCTCCAACTATATAAGCTGAACTCATGTTCCTGCTCATAAGCCCAGCCAACTTCTAGGATTCCCTATTTCAATGAATGGAATCACCATCCAACCAGGTGTAAGAGCCAGAAATTCTGTAGCCATTCTTGCCATTTCCCTCTGCTTCACCTTCCATATCCAATATATCACCAAAACAGCTCGACGTTCCCTCCTCAAGACAAATGCACAGGAATAAACGTATTTTCCTTCTGTCCACTGCCCCATCATCCCCCTAGCCCACACGACTGCTGTTTCTCCAGGAGACCATTGCAATAGCCACCTAACTGCTCTGCCCACTTTTACCCTGCTTTCTACTAACCTTCCTTTCACACTCAGCCAAAGTAATCTTCCTAAAGGAAAATCCGATCACATCACTTCCCTGTTTGAAATCCTTTAATGGATTCCTATTGTTTTTAGGACAAATGCAAAAACCCTTTCAAAGCCTATAGAACCGGCACGGTTCTGGTCACTTCCTACTCATCTCACATCACAGCCCCTTTTCATCTCTCTGCCCATCATAGCTTGCTTCTTAAGGTACTTTGTATTCACTATGCTCCATCTTTCGGAAATGCTGTTCACATTGCTTGGAAATGCTCTTTCTTACCTTTTAACAATTTAATTGGAATTCAGTCCTAAAAGTTCAGCTATCACTTTTTCAGAGAAGGCTTCCCTGTCCTCTCAGACAGTCAAATCCCCTATTATAAGTACTCATGCTACTAAGTCACAAAAACTGCCGCAGCAGCAGTTCCCACTGTCTGTATAATTATTGGATTGTCTGTCTCCATGGAAGTTCAATGGGCACAGGGACTGTATGTGGTTCTGCTCACGGCTGAATCCCTTGTAGCTGCCTGGCATACTAAATGGCACATAATAGACTATATATATATATAAAATTTACATGTATATATGTATATATACATATGTATATGTATATATGTATATGTATACATGTATCTATGTATATGTATATGTGTGTGTATATATATATATATGGATATAGGCTGCACTAAGTGAATCTCTCTATATAAAGTCTAAAACATCTTATTCTAACACCTGGACACACTTCAACTTCTCAATCACTGGTATGTTTCCAGAGCATGCAACCTACTCATAAAATACATCAAGAATCCCAAATCTTGAGATTGCACAGTTAATGAATGGAAATCAGGGTTAAGGGAGATATGACCATAAAGTAATAAAACTACTTCCTATATTGCAAACATGCTGTATTTTGGACATAGCAAGGGTTGAATAAATATCTGCTGAATATATGAACTTGTATGTTTGTGATACAAAATTAAAAGTAAAATTCTGACAATTGCAGACAGACTCAGCTTGGCTTCTATAGTCTCAAAGAAAGATTTAGGGCCAAAACTGCAGAATGATAGGGAATTGGACTTCAAATATATATATTTTTGAGTGTGTGTGTGAGGAAGATTCATCCTGAAGATAACATCTGCTGCCAATCCTCCTCTCTTTTTGCTTGAGGAAGGTTCGCCCTGAGCTAACATCTGTGCCAATCTCCCTCTACTTTGTATGTGGGATGCCACCACAGCTTGGCTGATGAGTGGAGCAGGTCTGCATCCAGGATCTGAACCCACAAACCCAGGGCCGCTGAAGCGTACCACATGGAACTTTAACCACTTGGCCAGTGGGCTGGCCCCAGACTTCAAATATTTTAAGAGAGTGAGCTACCCAAAATGGAACGAGAAAAGGCTGCCTTAGGAGGTAACGAGTCTCAGTTACTCAAGATTTTCAAGAAGAGTGTATACACCATTTGCCAAAGATATTACAAGTAATGTGGGAAACATTTCTGTAATATAACTATTGTTCAGAATAATTCTTTTTGAAGGAACCATGCCTAAAATATCTTGTCTCCCACAATGCTTAACACAGTATCTCACACAGGGCAAAAGTTCAGGAGATATTTGCTGATCAAATTAGTTTATTGCTTACAGAGCCAATGGCAATTCATTTGAATATTCTACGGTGGCCCACATCCAATTTTAAGGGTGAGTTTAATTTTTAGAAACAGTAAGAAGGCAGTTGAAGTCAAATTTGATGAACAAGGCAGATAAACTAGGCAATATATTTTGACTTATAAAAGATTTAAAATGGTAGTGAGATAATATCCACAATCATTTAGCACTGAATCTGGCACAGGGTAAATGCCCACTCAATTTTAGGTATTGTTATTTAATAACAAAAATTAAATTGTTATTTAATAACAATAATTAAACTAAATCTGAGGGCAAATTTTCAAAAGGAATTAAATAAGCGTAGCATTGTCAGAATGAAAGTGTACTGAGTCTTCTAAAGAAACAAACGTTAGGATATGCGGAAATTCTGGGGTGGTACATTTGTTAAAATCTGTCTCAATACCTAGTTTTATTATCGACATTATATCCTATTTTTCCAGAACCTTGACTACTGTAGAATTTGGCTAAGCATTTTTCTAAAGTATTGAATGCAAAATGCTCAAGATTACAGGTTTATCCTACATGAATATTGCTCTCTTAAACACAGATTTAAAATCCTTTTCCCACCCGGGCAGTCTTTGGGGGCCCTTCAGTTGGCTGAGCTTCCCACACACTGTGACGTGCTGATATTAGCAGTCTGACTTTTCCTCCAAAAGAGAGAATAGAGAAGAAAAAATAGAAACTGGGACCTTGTCCAGGAAACTCAGATGACAATGTGTAGGCTATAATTAGAGTACTTGAAAAATGTGAAAATGAAGCCAAACATTTACCAAATGCTATGTCTCAAATAAGGGAGTTACTATACATTTTGTGAATAAGAAAAGAAAAAAAAAAACACCTGGGATCTGTCAGCTAGTTTGACACTTTCCGGCAGGGCTGTTGGACATCTCTGCTGTTGAGGGTTTGCCTTCTTCTGTGTGGACTTCTTCAGCCTTCTAGTCTCTGAGATGTACTCTATATCAGAGGCCGTCCCTTCTGCGCTTCTTTTCCAGCCTCCACGGCTCACCGAAAGCTCCAAGGATGTAAGAGACTCATGCTTCAAGTTATCACTCGAAGGCCTGATTTTCTGAGTTTTCGTATTTTCCTTAAACAAGAAAGAACATGTTTTTATTTTTTGGTAGCCAGTTTTATTTATAATTAACTACCATTCCCCTGAAAACCTTATGACATTAGGTGATATTTATTACTAATGAGAACTTTAAAAAGCAGAAGCTTAGAAAACAGATGTTAGCAAATGCATACCACTATAAAGGCTCGTTTACAATTTGATTCGGCATAGCCGGGTTCAGTCAAGAAATCTTGTTTTGAAGATGCAGAAGACCCCAAATTGAGAACACAGTGTGCTTCCTGACTTCCTCCGAAGAGAGACTTACTTGCCTTTGGCTCTCTGGTGTATAGATATCAGTAACCTATTTACCTAAAGGTTAACTGTGGTTTACCAATCCCATCATCTGCCTGTTAAGAAATGTGAATAACTAAAACTGTAGAGTTTTCCATATTGGTATAACTGAAAAGCTCTACACATTCAAAAATTTCCCTGAAAACTTTAAATTTCAGATATTAACAGATATTTGAGGAATATAATGTAATGACATTTTATGAACAAGAAACAATGTAGGAATTACAGATACAACGTATTTCCAGGCAAATATATATCCACAGACTGAATCAACTTTTTCTCTCTCTCTCCCTTTCTCTCTCTCTCTCCACACACACACACACACACACACACACACACACACACACACACACGGATGTATATAGGATTAAATACATACACATACATATATACACATATATATACACACACATATATATATATATACACATACATATATACACATATATATATACACACATACATATATACACATATATATATACACACATACATATATACACACACAGAAAATATTGGAAAGAAATACATTAAAATATTTAAAATGACCATCATCTTTAGGCAGTTAAGACAATGAGTGATTTAAATTTTCTTATTTGTATTTTATTTTCTGGGTTTTCCCTAAAAAACATGTATCACTTTAATAAGAAAAAAAATGATGGCAGTTAAAAAAAATTTATTAGTGCTTCACTTCCTGAACCTCATAAAGCATGGTGACATTGGGCCCTTGCTGGGTCTTATCCTTCATATGGAAAGCATGACCCGAATGGTTCAATCCCACTTCAACTACTCACCATAGATGCCGAAGTTTGGCAGGTGGTAGTGAACTCAGTGATCCTACTTGTCGGCATAAACTGAAGCTTTCATGGAAAAAAATCATTAGACAAATGTAAGTAAAAATAACTTCCAACTGACATATTACAATATTTCAATATTCTTCCTTTCTAAAAGAAGTTTCAAGATTGCACACCCTCACTGATAATTATTTAAGGAATTTCGGTTTAGATACACTGCAACAATGCTCTGATTAGCGGGGACTGGACAGTACAAGAGAATCTAACTGTTTGTTGAAGGATTACAGATCGACTGTCCTATGAGTAATTACAGGGTGCCACTGTGTCAAGTGATGTCCCCACAGCCCTTGTCCCCCATCTCTGGAGACCTCTGTTCTCACTTGCAGGTCCCAGCATCTGGAATGAATCCTGACCCTCATCAACAGCTCTGCCTAGTTCAGAGCCCTGGGCCTGAGCCTCAAGGGACTTTTGAGGGAAGACTGGCCTTAACCGTGTCCCTAATAACTGGATGCTGCTTTATCCCCATCATCTAGCTGCTGTCTTGCACTCAGAGGCATAGCTAGAGAGAGAGGGAGCATCTCTTCTCCCTGAAAAAGCATCAGCTTTTAAGCTAATATTTTGATGTGATAACTATTACACTAAAATGAGGAGATGCTAATGAAATACACGGAGAGAAGATAAAGAGTAATGCAGGCCCTGCAGCCTGGGCCCAGATTCACTCCCCCATGGATGAGACCCTGGTTAGGGGTCTGCTTGCCCCTCCTTTTTGGTGCACCCGTTATCTTTGGCTGTGCCACCACGACATCATCATGGTGTCCATCTGTGTCCAGATTCTCTAGGACAGAAAATTCACCCTGGGCTTGTAAGTGCTCTACCCTCCAAACTGGAATCCTCACTCTGACTGAGGGTTGGATCTGCACTCCGCTGAAAAAATTTCCGGTGTGGGTGGCCTGCATAGATTTTGAAATGGTGTCTTTTCCTCTGTCCTGAGATCCAAATGCCTCCAGTGCATCTTATAAACTGCAGGTACCTTCCAGGCAACCCTTCCAAAATTGAATTCACTATTTCGCCTGTGTACCTGCACCCACCCCCTACCAGTACTTCCTAGCGCCTTCCCTCTTTTGACCAGTGACATCGCCGAGCAAGGTTCTCTCTGGCTCATCATCACTCTCAGTCCCCTCCACCTGATCCCTAATCAACTTCGTGGGCTCTTCCACTTAGATTTCTTTTAAATTCAGAACTCTGCTTTAGCCTCAAGTCACCACACTTTTTAAAGGTCGCTATCATTTCTTGACTGAATTGTTTTCTATAATCTCATTTTCCTGCTTCTAGTTCAGAGACTTCTCTCCACCTATGTCACAACCACATTCTACACAGTATTATTCCCTTCATTACAATAAGGAAGAGAAAGATAAATACCTATGATTTCACTCATATGTCGAAGATAAACACACGGATAAGGAGAATAAATTCGTGGTTACCAGAGGGGAAGGGGTCGGGGGAGGGCAACAGGGGTAAAAGGGCACATATGTACAGTGACGGATGAAAACTAGACTATTGGTGGTGAACACGATGCAGTCTATACAGAAACTGATAAATAATAACGTACACCTGAAATGACACAATATTATAAGCCAACATGACCTCAATAAAATAATTTTTAAAATAATAAAATAAAATAAGGAGAAGGAAAGGGCGGGGGAGGCATTCTCAAAATTGGATATATGTTAGAATCAACTGCTAAGCCTTTAAAAAGACCACTGATGTCCTTACACCCTAAAATTCCAATGTAACTGCGTGGGGTGGAGCTTGGCATCAGTATTTTTTAAAGCTCTCCAAGAGATTCTAACGTGCAGTCAGGATTGAGAACCACTAGCCTAGAAGATAGAGTCTCATTTCTGCACCACCCAGCCCAGGGACTGGCACATCGCAGACATTCAATTCATTTATCAAATGGAACCAAACAGCACCTAGCATGACATACAAGCAGCCTGCACATCCTTGGACCTAAACTTGCTAAATTCCTCTTCTGGGCCACTTTCCATCCCTCTCACAGCCCCTGCTGCCCTCACAGACCCCATGTCCAACCACATTTGCTAATCCCCAGGTTCACTTTCGTGTCCCCATGCCTTTGTAGAACCCATTTTCTTTGCCTGCAATGGTCTTTCCAACTTCTCCATTTGTCAAATTTCACTCATCCTTCAAGTCTCGGTTCAAATATGATCCACTCTGAGTGCCTCTCCCAATTCCTCAAGGGAGAATTGATTGCTTTATCTTCTATGGCCTCACGGCATTATTTCTCTTTAGATGCTATATAGGTAATATATTCACATGGAACAACATGCATCTTAGAAAGTATATTTTTAAGAAGTGTCCTTACTACTCCATTCTCCATTTGTCCAGCTTATACTCCACAAACAAGTAACCTCTGATGTTACTTTTTGTTTATCTTCCCAGAGATTTGTTTATACATAGTATACAAGCATATATAAAAACATTTTCCCCACTTTTTTTGAGATAGGGAAAATGGTAGTATATTATACATACAGTCTGCATCTTGCTTTTTCACTTAAGGATATATCCTAGAGATCCTTCTCTATTAGCACTTAAAAAGCTTCTTCATTCCCTTTTACAGCTGCATTGTATGTAATTTATTGTACAAAAATTTATTTAACCAGACTTGTTGATAGACATCTAGGTCTCAATATTTCACTATGCAAAATATTTTGTGATGACTTGTAAAATAGGTAATTTTGTAAATACGTAATTTCATATTTGTGTGAGTACATCTATATAATCAATTTCTAAAAGTGAAATTTCTGGGTCAAAATGTATAACACATTTGTAATTTTGATAAACGCTGTTAAACTATCTCCACCAGGCTTTGTGGTGGGCCAGCATATAGTCATTCTCATGAATATGCCAAAAGCACTTGATAAGAAATATATTCTCTATTTTGAGAGTACCGAGTTTGATTTGTATCAATTATATATAAATTATTATTATTATTGATTATTGATTGTTTAGGAATTTGTAGGCCGAGAGCAAATTAAAGTTTTCTATTACTTGAGTGATTGTCTCTTTTCCCATGTATCATTTTTAGGTTTTGCTTTATGGAACTCAACACTACATTAGCTGATGTGACAGATTTGTAATTGATACACCTTCATTGTGAACTGAAGACTTTAGCCTAATTCAATGCCTTTCCTTGCAGTGTTTAATGTTTTTTCCCTTGAATTCCAATTTGGCTGATATTAGGCGGGACACCTATTTTACTTTTGTATATTTGTTTGAAATAACATTTTCAATCTTTCTGAATTAACATTTTAGATGTGTCTTGTGTAGAGCACAGGCTTGACTTTGCTTTGTGATACAGCCTGAAGTTCCTTATCCGTTATTAAGGCATTTAAGTTGGGCCATTTATGTTTATTGATACCATGTACGTGTTTGGTATTAGTTGACATTTTGTTTTTATAATTTCTCTTCAGTTTTTAATGATACAGTCAATTTTCTTCTCTTTGTTTTATGTGCGTACTACTTCTGATACTGTTTTGTTTTGTTTTGTTTTTGGTGAGAAAGACTGGCTCTGAGCTGACATCTGTGCCAATCTTCCTCTATTTTGTATGTGGGATGTCACCACAGCATGGCTTGAGAAGTGGTGTGTAAGTCCATGCCCGGAATTCGAACCTGCGAACCCCAGGCCACTGAAGCAGAGCACGTGAACTTAACCACTATACCACCTATTACGTATTTTTTTCCTAGTGATTACTATTATAATGATAACTTTATATAATACTCTTATTCTTAGTTCTTTCTATCCTCAGACAATATCTATAAGTTTCCTACGCTGAATGGTGACAAAATTTATTTTCTCTTCCCTCTTTTCTTTCACTGCCTGATATTTATCGATATTCTCTTTCTCAGTGTTTACACTAGTACCAAAAAGCATGTTTAAATTGCTTAAACGATACTTCTTGATCTCCTACTACAAATGAGGCAAGCAAATTACCTTTCACCTTCTTTCATTCTTGACCTCTTTTTTTTTGTTAGTTGAATTATTTCTACATTTCCAGAGCATTTATATTCAGTTTGGTACCTAATGTCACATACATTTTAGTCTTAGTTCTATAGTTAAATACAGCCAATGCTTATTTCCAGTTCTTTGCTGTAGAATTTTCAGATATCCCTTGCCGGTTGAAGTTTGATCTCCAGTTGTTTCTTCAAAAAAGGATCATGAGAACAATATTTCCTGAGTTTTTTGCTATTTTCAAAACTCTTTAAGTTTTACATTTGAAGAATGGTATGGTGAATGTAAAATTCTTGGTTTACATATTCTTTCCTTGAGGATCTCATGTTCTTACTTCATTATTCCCTGGAGCTGAGTTTTTGTAGAGAATTTGAAGCCAATCTGAATTTTTTTGTCCCTATAAATGATTTGATCTTTATGCCTATTCTTTTTCTCTACAGTTGAATAATTTTACTGGGATATGTCTTACTGCTGACTATTCTGGGACAGTTTTCCCTTCCATGCTGCATACTGTTTCAAATACGTAGCTTCAAGTTCTATTTTTTTGTGAAAAGTTTTCCTGATTTATATCTTTAAAAATGTGTTTTTTGGGGGGCTGGTCCCGTGGCCAAGTGGTTAAGTTCGTGCGCTCCGCTGCAGGCGGCCCAGTGTTTTGTTGGTTCGAATCCTGGGCACGGACATGGCACTGCTCATCAAACCACGCTGAGGCAGCATCCCACATGCCACAACGAGAAGGACCCAAAACGAAGAATATACAACTATGTACCGGGGGCCTTTGGGGAGAAAAAGGGAAAAATAAAATCTTTAAAAAAAAATGTGTTTTTACTTATCCTTAGTTTTTCTTTGGGTATTCCAATAATGCAAATATTGAATCTCCTTTTTCTACTTCTACTATCATTTTCTTCGTAATTATAAGCAATTCCTTCCTAATTCTATTTGTTTTAATTGCTTTTCCACTTTTATCCTCTATAGCAGGGGAGAGCAAACTTTTTCTGGAAAGGGTTAGATAGTAAATATTTTAGACTTTGCAGCTGACATA